CATCGAGCAACCTCATCTGTGAGCCAAGGGCGTCAATCCATCCCAGCCGAGCAGCCATATCGTACACCCGTCCTTCGTATTCGACCCAGTACGATACCGTCAACTAAGTGTGCGGAGTTGTCTGGATTTGGCATGTATACTCCATAGGTTGCCGCTCAAGGTCAGCCTGCGATACGGACCTGAATCCGTCGCCTGTCCGTTTCGCCTTCGCCTTCACCTTTGCCGGTCAACCATCATCCGTTACCGGGTCTACCGATTCGATACGTATCTAGCGCAAAGGCTAGAGCCGCCGCTGTGTGCTCCTGGGCAAACCGTGCTCCATCCGGCATCGCCTGGGCCTCATGTCCCACGCAACGCCAGCACCCTTCCGCGCAAAGCCCCCATCACCATCCTCTCACGCAGTCGACAGCGCGAAACTACATCAACTGTATCTGCAGAATCGTCCAAAGGATCAGATCCCTCACACTCCGACTTCTCCTCCGTTAATGTCAGTCAGCGCTCAAAACTATGCCTCGAGCTTCTCCACTACTCAAACGTCACCGCCAAAGACCCTCCAAATCGCTTCTCTCCCCCCTTCTCCTTCCTCCGTCCCCATGTGTTCTCAGATCTCCCAACAACCCACTGTAACGTCAACTACGTCACTTTCCACGCCAGCTAGTAGTGCTGGTGGGCCTTTTCACCAGCAATCACACGATGCGTGAGGCGGAGGACATTTCGAACAATGTTACAACAGACCCACGGAAGGATGGAGAATCATATGTGGGCAAAGGAATCGGATTAGATTTAATGGATATCGATACCTCTGACCACAGAAGAACTGATCACGACCGGCAGAATAGAGGGCTTGATCAAAGCTTCGGTGGGAATACAATGGATTTGGATTACAAAGCGACATCTTCCACGCAGGAGGAAGAGCTTAGCCTGGCAGCTCTCCAGCAGGATATAGGCACGGCTTTCCATCTCTGCAAATCCTGTAAGGTCTCCCTAAGGCACTGTCTTGCTTGACTTTCAAACCTCAAATTTTCCCTTTTAAAAGAAAAAGATAAATTGGTTTGTCAAATTTTCATTTTCGGGCACCATTGATGTTAACACGACTTCCCAATGCTAGCTTATACCGTATCTGGCCCGAATCCGAGCCTAGATCTAGTATCACTCTACGGCCTAGGTCCAGTTGCTTCCTCAGTTGCTCGAACAGACCCGGTCACGGGCGAGAAAATTAACAGATTAAGAAAGTCCTATGAAGGGAAAATTAAAGGCCTTGGTCTAGCAGGAAGAAATAAACCCGTCAAAGCTGAACCCGGGACACCTGGAGGATTGAAATATTTGACGTTATGGCCAGAAGAGGAGTGGCAAAACCAAAAAGTTTATGGAAAGGATATCAAAGTGGCCGAACCGGACTCGTCGTTCTTCAAGCAGCAATTAAAGGCAATGAAAATGGAGCCAGGAAGCTTACCTAACCATGAATTTTGGGAGATGCTCTAGGCATGAAAAATCGTTCCAAAGGCTCTGGCAGCTAATGATACATCCTTGGCTAAAGCGGCTGGTACCGTGCCCGGGTCTATCCGTCAGCCAAATGCATGCAAATGGGACTCCCACAGCGATATCTACTCCAGCTACAGAAAACACAAGACCAAAGCGCGCAGGTAAGAAGCGGAGTTATAACGACAGCAGCTTTGTTGGTTACGGCGAAGGATTCCCCGATGACGAGCTAGACTTGGACAGCGGACGGTACTCGAATAGTGAGGAGGGCGCCAGGGGCCCGGGAAAGAAGAAAAGGAAAAAGGTGACAAGCTAGCCTTCCTCGCACTCCTATGGCACACACATTCATTTTCCTCATACGCGCGACTAACGTCAGGGCAGGATCACATCTCGGGAATGTCCCCCACTCTCACTGAACGAGCCGGTAGCTACGGCGTGGGCATGTTTGGTGTTGGCGCCCGATGACTTGATTTGAAAAATACAATGAACAGCATGAATTTTTCGAGTTTATGGTGAAAATTTTTACGGTTCCAATATCGGCGTTTTATTTCAAAAGAGGGTTTTGGCGTTTGGGATTCAACGTCCTTTTTTCTTGTCCTTCGTGTTTCGTTCTTCTCTTTCACCTTTTTTATTTTCCCTTCGCTGTAATTCAAATTTTGTCCATTATTACTAATTCCCCTAGCGGAAATTTGCATGGTGGTGCTGGATATACCCGCCTTGGTCAAACCGGCGTTATTTTGGGAGGGTTGGCAAGGAAAATATATGCCAATAGGGCGGTGATTTAGGTTCTTTATTTTCGATTACCATGTCCATTCCTATTTTCATCCTTTATATCCATAGCTTCCGTTGTTTGTTCCTTACCTCATTATGTCCTTAGCCTGCACGTCCATCTTTACCCTCTGTTTTGATTGTTTTTTCAGTTCTCTTTTGCCCCGTCTCTCTATTTGATATGCCTCCCATTATTTGGAGGTTGCCATGAAGGGCATTCTGTTTGTTCTGCTTACTATGCGCCTATCTGTGGGTCTGAATGTTCCTTTGGCTCTTTCAAAAACCAATGGCCAATTATATTGATGATAGCTCTTTCGATTATTCATTGAAAAGGTCATTTTAATATCGTGTCGACACCAAAAAAAAAGGGGAAAAAAAGAAAGAAAGAAAGAAAGAAAGAAAAGCAAAAGGAGGGGTTGAGGGGATGAAAGCCGGGGTACATACGAGAGACATATACTCCTACGTCCGCCCCGCCTTTGTCAGTGTCAATTTTCTGGCTTTTTCGTTCTCTGTCACTCCTGTATCGCCCTCGGCAATCTGCTGACTGATTGTTATGATTACTAAGCCATCCTATGATGTTATTCTATACTCCTTTCTGTTGTTCTCTTGTTTTATATCTTGTTTGAATGCATATCGTAGCGGTATGAACCGTGAAATTTCTGTTACATAGTTAACATAGAGAGTTTAATCGAGAAGAAAATTAGCTATTATTATGGTAATTACTGAAGCGTTTGCAATAGCCGAATTTTGAATAAAAACACACAATCAAAGGGAATTTGATTGTTCCATAGCCGGAGAAACATGGTAAACATTCTCCACAATAGGCACATCTTGTTGTAGGGCGTGCCTCGGCAGAGACGGCATTAATAATATTTAATCAACCCCACTATGCAGCAACAAGAACGACGGGACCAGAGATGTATTTAAACGACAGGATCCCTGGTGACAATTTCGTCTGTAGTTGTAAACTTTCGGACTGGTCTCTCGCAGCTATTAGTTTTTTGTCAAAGTTCCCCATGGTGTCCAATCGCCCCTTGACGACGTTTTCCGTACTTTCATTTGATATATATGGCACCTTAATTGATTGGGAGAAGGGGATTCTTGAGAGCTTGAAACCGCTTGCTGCCCGACTCCCAGATTCGCATCCTCTGAAATCAGACCATGTTGCTCTTGGCTGTGCGTTGAACAAATATGAACGTACTTTCCAAGTCGAGAACCCAACACAGTCGTACGATTTGATCCTCAAAGTTTCGTATGAAGCCCTCGCAAAGGAGTTACAAGCTCTGCCAGCTGCTACGGATACGGAAGACGCATCCTCACTTCTAGACAAAGAGAGCAGCGCATTCGGAGCGAGCATTGGCACCTGGCCACCATTCCCAGATACCGTTGAGGCGATGCGAAAATTGAAGCAGCGCTATAAGCTTGTGCCTTTATCGAATGTGGACCGCGCTTCTTTCCAGAAAACTCTCCATGGCCCATTAGGCGGAGTGCATAAAGGGTTAAAGGATGGGGAGGCCTTCTTCGATGCCGTATATACGGCGCAGGATGTTGGGTCTTATAAACCAGACCCCCGAAACTTTGAATATCTGTTATCGCATTTGAAGTCGGATTTTGGAGCAGCCAAGGATGATGTTTTGCATGTTGCGCAGAGTTTGTTCCATGATCATGAGCCGGCGAAAAAGTTTGGACTGCAAAGTGTGTGGATCTCAAGGGGGGAGGGACGGGACGGAATGGGTGGCAACGTGGCTGAATACCTTGGGGGTGATAATGCGAAAGTCGCATTTGGTTGGCGATTCAATACTCTGGGTGAGCTGGCAGAGGCTATCGAAAGGGAATCGGAAGGGGGAGTCTGATATGGGGTCGAGACTTTGCGATCAACCACATTTGTCGACTATCTGTTCCTACACAAGGTAGTTTACGTGTAACAATGAAACAATATTAATTTCCAATGATGGTCATAATACCTCAGACACATAGCCGTGTTATAGCTGATATGTATATTAAGACAAATGGCCACTCTTTACGGATTGATCCTTTTGGTGCATTGGATTGCTCTCCCACGTATTATCAAGTTTCACACACCTCAAACTCTTCCTGGAACCATCCTACAGAACAAGTACCCGCATCAGGCCACTTAGATGCTGCGCACCCGGAATCGGTGAACATGGGCACCTAGCCTGCGCCACCAGGGCTTCGCTCAGTCTGACTGGTACAAATAATAAGATCAGATATGTGTGTGAATCTAGAATCAGTTTGTCATTGTCAACGGTATGCTCAGAAATCCGAGGGAGAATGGACCAGGATCAACAATCTCGCACACCGACAAATGCTTTTTTCTAATATTCTCTCTGGTGCAGCGAAGTTGGACGGAAACCGATGAGGGCGTTCTATTCTGCTGATCAAATGATCATTCCAGTCTCTACATTCTAGGACGCAATATATACCTAAAATGACAAAACAAATCAGTGCATCCCGCCTATTGATTCACGAGATGGCCTTAACGCTTAGACTGTCTGTCGATTTCTCGAATCCCTACAACTTAACATTTGCGTCGATAATTTTGCTCACGGCCTTCCACCCTTCTCCCGCAGGAACCTCAATCACACGGCGCTCTTTCCTCAACAACCCCGCAAACTCCGGTGGAACAATGTTGTCAAACTCGTAGCCATCCTGGCCTCCTAGCGCCATATCAACAGCTGAAACGAATTTTGCTGGGTGTGCCGTTGACAGAGAAATATGATGTGTGCCAGGGTTGCGATCAATAGATCGAAGGGAAGCAGCAACTCCAACAGCGGAGTGTGGATCAAGGATGTATCCACCCGTGCTGCCTCTTGTTCCGCTACTAACTGGGGAGGCGGGGAAACAAGAGGAGTAGATGTCGCGAATAGTGTCGATGGTTTCCAAATCGGAGACACGCTCAGATTCGAAATGTTCTTTGGCAGCATCAAGAACGGCTGGCTCAACTCTGAAGCCGCCTTGAGTTTGCAGATCGCCAAGCCATCTGCGGACGATATCGCTGGCTCTTTGCCGCTGTAGATGAATATCTCCGTCTCCGCCAAAGACTTTAATGGCGAGAAACCAGAGGAGGCGCTCGAAATTGCTTGAGACTAGGATATCCATGGCTGGGCTGAAGGTTTCTTTGACGCCACTCGGCTCCGCGCCTGTGGCCCCATTCCCGGTAGGTTTCTTGGTATATTGGCCGGTTTTCCAGAATCGGTCAAGAATGTCGTTTTCGTTTGTTGCGATGACTAGCTTCTCTGTGAGAAGGCCCATTTGTTTTGCAAACCAGCCAGCCTGTATTTCATTAGCTCCACATTAAATAACCCCTCTAAAGGTCGATCATAAAGCTCTCCAGGGATCTACTTACAAGGATATCACCGAAATTACCTGATGGTACGACAAACCTTATGGACTTGTCTTTGGTGTATTTTGGACTTCTGGTGAGGGAGAAATAAGAGTGAATGTAGTAAGTCATTTGGGCAAGGATGCGCGCCCAATTTATCGAGTTCACACTCGCCAACTTGTACTTGAGGTTCATCTCTGGATCAGCAAACATCGATTTGACCATAGCTTGGCAGTCATCGAAGGAGCCTTGAACGCTAAGGTTATGGACATTGGGATCGAGGACGGTCGTCATTTGGGCCTCTTGGATAGCAGAGACTTTTCCCTTAGGATGCAGAATGAATATCGAAGTATCTTCCTTCCCTCTCAGGCCATATATAGCAGCGGAACCGGTGTCTCCACTCGTAGCTCCGATCACAACGAGGTGCAGTCGGTCTTTTCCACTCTTCCCTTGATTTCGCCGTGCAAGAAAATACTCAAAGAGGTTTCCGAGGAACTGCAGAGCAACATCCTTGAATGCAAACGTCGGGCCGCAGAACAGTTCAAGAAGGTAGAGTTGCTTTGAGTCATCGAGGGTAACGAGGGGCGTAACATCTGTCGATCGGAAAGTCGAATAGCTACGGTTGATGATATTTTTTAGATCCGCTGGAGGGATCTCTGAAGGGGAGATATACAGAGACATAATCTCAAATGCCAACTCCTGGAATGTGAAATCCCGCCACTTTGACTCCCAGCCCTCCGGTAGTTGGGGGATGGCTTCTGGAATGAACAAGCCGCCATCTGACGCAAGACCTTTCAGCACGACATCTTCGAAAGATAGCTAGTGGAAACCCCAATTCGTGTCAGTTTAAGAATTGCAATCCATACTCGAAAATGTGAAGGCATCACAAAAAATCGCGAACGCAACCATGTATTTGGTCTTTCGTTACTCACTCCGCATGATGAGCCCCGAGTACTCAGATACCTCTGCGAATCCGTCCCCGACATGTTTTCGGTTCAGAGGACAACCCAATTACACAGGAGTAGTACAAACGCTGCCAGCAGGGAGGTCAGTCAGCGAGCAAAATAATTACCCGTTCTAGACTTTTTACTTTTCTTTTTAATTTTATTAATCGCGGGGCGACCAAAGCTTGCAATAAAAACTCGATTCGGCCACTTTTCGGATGACTAACCGCGGAACCAGCCCAGGCCCGAAAAATCAACCGGCGGTCCCATTATCTTTTTAAGGAATTGTTAGAATGTAATGGTGTGCATTAATATGATTCATTTCATCGGGGTTTTTGAACTTTTAATATAAATCTCGAATGTCTTATCGTATTGCTGAGAGGTACCAGAAGGTGATGCCTCCGGCCGGTTACCAGGCTCGGGAAAATATCACAACGCAAGAGAGAAAAAGTTCGTTGGAAAAGATATATATCCTCCAAGACTTAAAAAGCTGCACACAAAATTGAGAAGCTTAATACCTTTCGTTGTCTTCCTTATTCAACAGCGCCCTTTTCCATCGTCCCTCCCAAGCAGCAGATATTCCTCCAATGACCTCCAAATTTGACCAAGCGCTTGCGCGCATCGATGACGCTCATCGACAAGATCCAAACTTGGTCACCGTAAACGGTGCTGCAGTGCCGTACGAACTCTACTATGCGAATAAAATGACCCAGCACCTTGAGAAGCGTGACCCATCAGCGTCTGAGATTCTTAGGCTGGCTGTACGTGCGCAGCATCTCCGCCGCTGGGAAGTTCCCAGATCTACTTACCCAATGACGAGACCGGGCTACTTCGCCTGGCGGACAGCGCTGAAAAACCGGCAGGCTGATATTGCCAAGAAGATTTGCCTCGATTGCGGGTACGATGCAGACGAGGCCGGGCGCGTTGCCTCATTGGTCCGCAAGGAAGATATGAAGCAGGACGTGGAGTGTCAAGCCCTGGAGGACGTTGCATGCTTGGTATTTTTGGACGACCAGTTTGAGAAGTTTGAGAGAGAACATGATGAGGAGAAAATTGTGGGTATTTTAAGGAAAACCTGGACGAAAATGTCGGAAAAGGGACATGATTTGGTTTCACAGATTGAGATGACGGATCTCGCAAAGGGACTCCTTACGAAAGCTCTATCGACATGACATTTGCAGCCGCACTAATATAAATAAACAGGCCGCCAAGAAACTGGAATTGACTTCATAGAAGGGAAGATGAATGCGAAACAAGGCCTCATTATCAGACTATATACACCCAACCTGATACCTACCTCTGGTCCAAGTACAAGTTGCGCTGGAACGAAAATAACCCTCGAGACTTTTAAAACCTATCACCATTTTTCGTATGATTACAATTTGCCATTATCAATCATCCGAACCAAGAAGACAGCTGCCCCGGCGGCTGCTCCTCCTACCATAACCATCTGAACGCCGCCCTTGAGACCGGCTATGATGTTCTCTCTGCCGCTCCAGCCTCGCACAATGCATGTTTTGAGATAGCCAAACACTAACAGTGTAACTGCCATTACGCCGGCGCTATATTTCAACGCGGTCAAGACTTGGTGGCTGAGAATGTAAGGAATAAGCGGAATGAATCCTCCAATGAAGTACCCCAGAGCAAGTGTGATGGCGGAAACAAGAGCTTGGTTGGCATCTGGTTCAGGTTGCTTGTGGTGAAATGCCAAGAGGAATTCCATCAGCTGTTTGGGGGAGCTGTGCAATGTTGAACTCATCTCTGAAACGGGATGATCGGGAAGACTGTAGGGCGCAAACACTTCTCTAACCATCGTCGTTGTCTCGCACGGGCACGCCGAGATAAGCTCTTGTACTTCGCGTTTGGCTGTTTCGTATGACTCTCTAAAATGAACACCCCAAGGAAAAAAGGTTACGGGGTCAGCCTCGATCGTCAACCCGGAGCCTTATTTTTTATCTCCCGCGCTACTTACATTTCGGTTTTGGCACCCACATAGCCGCCCAGGCCCATCGAAATGGCGCCAGCAACAAGCTCTGCCAGACTGCCCAAGACGACGACTTTGGTGTTGCCGAAAGCTGACAAGCCCGCACTCAGCGCGAAGGGCACCGTAAGGCCATCCGAGAGGCCCAATATAGCATCCGATATTATTCGGGGATTTATTTTGGAGCATGACGTTGACTGAGTCTCGCTCCCGGAATCGTTTGCATTACGCGAGCAGGTGGGAAATGTCTGGTAGCGGCCCCAATTTTGCGCTTCAGGGTCACCACCATTGACCACCGCGCCTCCCCTATCACATCTTCTAGTTGTGGTGGGAAGCAGAGGCTCTCCTATCGGTTCGATCATTCTCGTATGAGTTGTCTAGCTATGAGTCATGGGGAGGGAGAGAGAGAGAGGCAGGACGAGTTAATAGGGATCTTACTTGTGTCTTGGTTTGAAGATCGGGACTTCGAAAAGCGATCAAAGCCCGATTGGGCTCCATCGTTGCTCGGGGCCATCCGCGGAAAATATTTCGCTCAGAAACGAAAATGCCATGCACCCTCTCGCTTGGAATTATGAATAACTTTTTTTTGGTGCGCGGGAGAGGGGGAGAGAAAGCCGCCAGAGGAGCCGAAGGGCTATGAGAATGTATACAAAGTGAAGGCAGGGTGCGTTATGTATATCTCAGGAGATGGAGGACGCCAAGACGATGGATTGATTCTTAGCTGTTCAAACGGCGGTTAGAGAGGCAAAACTTTTGATATTTTTACCATCTGCATGTCCTTTTTACGTTCTTGCCACCGAGGGCCTTCGTAGTATCGAGCTGCTACGGCGGAGCTTCTGCCAAATCTTATTCCAGCGCCCCGGCCAATCAGCACGGCGGTAAATGTAAAGTCCGCTCACTTACGCCCTACGTGGAACTTTGTAAGCGTCGCGCAGGAAAACCTTCTGGTTATTTTTGGATTAGCTTCCCAGCGGCCGGTTCTTTCTACAGCCAACGGGCTTGGATCCAAACCAAACCAGCTCCGCTTACTCCGTAAAGATGGCTGGGTTCCTGAACAGTTCCAAGGTTGCCAATGTGGCTGTCGTTTCATCTTCAAGAAAGAGATCGCGCGGGAAAAAAGGGAGACAGACAAGTTGAGAGAAGCCAGGTTGATGATGATTAATATCTTGTTCCTGGTTGGCCTCCAGTCCGGAGCTAAATGATTACAAGCGATATTGTCAATCTGGGTTAGATTCATCTTCAGAGGGAACCTTACAGTATATCAATCAGAGCCAAAATATAAAAAAGAAATTAAAACCATAGTTAATAAAACTGCAACTTCTCATTGAAACTTTCAGTTAACTAAGAACCAAAAACAAAATAAAACCACCATAACAATAATAATAATCAATTATCCAGCATCTTAATTATCCCTTGGTGTATATGTATGCAAATGTACAGTACACTCATTTTGACCATTGTTGCGCATCCAGATATACTCTTGCATATTCTGACTCTTGGTCGCGGAGGCCTCAAGCACCCCCTTCTCTCTTCGCATACTCTTCCTCCATGCGCTCCTCAAACAGTCGTTCCGCCTCTTCCTTGCTCAGTTGACTTCTCCCTAACTGCCCAGTCGTATCGGATGCCGGATCCGCGGTCGGTGTGGAGCCCGGCGCTGTTTGGGGTGGTTGTGAGAACGATTGCTCCTGTAGCTGCAGCTGTTGGTGCTGGTGTGAGGCTGAGGATGATGAGGACGAAGTGCCAGTACCTGGCGATGCGGAGGAGTTGGAGGGGACGGGCATTTTTATGTGACCTTGACCCGGTATGCGTTGAGCGTACGTAGTATTGTGGATGGCTAGAATCCGATCATATATTGGTGGTGGAACACCGTTTCCGTTGTTTGCGGGGGCGGCTTGCCGTTCGACATATTGTGGCTTAACAAGCATAGCATAGCCGCTGAGCCGCTGAGCCGCTGAGCCGCTAAGCCACGTTGCCAAAGCTTCGATCGATGATTTAAACTAGTCCCAAAATAGGATATGAATACTGATAGAAGCTAGTTTTATAAATCTACGCTGCGTAGATCGTTACTAGTTCTGCCTTGATCAAGTAGCAGTTGTCTCAGTTAGCGGGGCCTACTAATTGCCATTCGGTTGCGTGACATTCGATGACATCATCGGTGACAAGGTGTGAGACCAGATGAGGTGTGATTTCAAAAGGCCATGGGTTGTCGCGATACCGAATCTCAAGAGAATCTGAAAGCATCTCCCTTCAGGTGGGAGAAAGCCGCTATCCAACAACCGTTGGGACGTTGATAAGGAGACCCCATCTGCGATGGGGAACAGTTCCGTTTATGACTCCTAGGACAAGTACTCTTCATACTCCCAGATACTTGAAAAGTCAAAGATATTTTCGATGTACCGCTGCCAATTATTCGGCTAGAGGATAAGTGCTATAACCTCTGTATT